GAGCCACCAGGCCTGGACTTCTCGAGTCTTTTCTGAGCATGCATCTTGCCCTGTATGTACATGGCTTTCTAAATTCCTTGATATTTATGGGAGCTTTTCAGTTCCCAAAAGAATCCCTCCCCAGCTTTTCCTTACAGCCTTTCAGCTTGTCTATTGTTCATGTAAACTGCAGTCTTTGCTCCAGACAGCAGTGGGTTGTTAATTTGTCTTTCAGTATGTTGGAGAACTGTCTTTTAAGTAGAAGCTTTTGCTTTCTGAGAGATTTCTGAGTTAGGCAAAACAAAAGCAAGTGTCTGGCATCAGTGCTTTAGGTAGCCCTCAGACAGGCCAGAACTGAGAGATAAAATCTTTTTTTTTTTTTGAGACGGAGTTTTGCTCTTGTTACCCAGGCTGGAGTGCAATGGCGCGATCTCAGCTCACCGCAACCTCCGCCTCCTGGGTTCAGGCAATTATCTTGCCTCAGCCTCCTGAGCAGCTGGGATTACAGGTAAGCGCCACCATGCCCAGCTAATTTTTTGTATTTTTAGTAAAGACAGGGTTTCACGATGTTGACCAGGATGTCTCGATCTCTTGACATCATGATCCACCCGCCTCGGCCTCCCAAAGTGCTGGGATTACAGGCGTGAGCCACCGCGCCTGGTGATACAATATTTTTAGAACAGAGTCTGCTTTGTTGCATTGAAGAAAAGGCTAGGGTCTCACATTGGGAATGCCGTCTTCACACCACCACCAATCCAGAAGGGAAATAGGGCAAGACCAGGTAAAATACTACAAAGCGCTCATTATTTTTAAGTTGCCGCTTTCTTGATTCAGCATTTGCTGGGTTGTTGTAAGTCTTTATTTTCCAGAGTTCCCACAAAGGTTGTTCCAACAGTTGTTGCTCATTTTTTCAGTATTTTTTTCTTTTTTTTTTAATGTTTTTTTTCTTTTTCGTTAAAAAAAAATTTTTTTTGTAAGTATTATTTTTTTAAGGGCACAGGCCCATGAAGCTGTCTGTTTTACTACCTTTGCTTACATTCTATTAATATTAAGCCCTGTGGAACCTCAGTTTATTCATCTGTAAAATGGGATGTGCCCAGAGCTTCTGCTTCGCAAACTCTTTGGGGCTGAAATGAAAAGGGAGTCCAGGCGAGGCATAGTGGCTCACAGCTGTCATTGCCACACTATGGGAGGCCAAATCACTTGGGGTCAGGAGTTTAAGACCAGCCTGGCCAACGTGGTGAAACCCCGTCTTTAATAAAAATACAAAAAAATTAGCCGGGCATCGTGGCACATGCCTGTAATCCCAGTTACTGAGGAGGCTGAGGTAGGAGAATAACTTTAACCCAGGAAATGGAGGTTGCAGTGAACCGAGATCGAACCACCGCACTCAAGCCTGGCAACAGAGCGAGCCTCCACCTCAAAAAAAAAAAAAAAAAAAAAAAAAGGCGAGGGTGGAGTCTAGCCAGGTGACCCCTGTCAACAGTAGTTTGTTCAGGAAATCCTGAGAAAAAGAAAGAGAGAAGAACAAGGATGCCACCTGGCTCCATCTAGGATATCAATGCCCCATTCTATTATGCTGATGACCCTGCCTGTGACCTTGACCCTGCCTATGACTTATTCCTTCTAATGTGCCAGTAACCTATAGACAACCCTCACTCATGCTGTAGCTTCATTCTCCCAAGAGAGATGATCTGATTGGTTCCTGTCATCAGGGAAGCTGGACCAGGCCACCTCATAGGCTGCTGGCCAGTGGGTGGCTGCTATGGCTCAGACCCCAGCCCTGGTCCAGTCAGCCCTGGCCAGAGATGACATTCCCATACAAAGCAGGGCACAAGGGCTCGGTAGGGAGGCCTCTGGGGCCACTCAAAAGGGGCTAAACTCTGACAACATCTGACGTGTTGAGGCAGGTAGTAAAGCAGATAACAAATGTAAAATACTTTTCATGTAGTAGAAATTTTTTTTTTTTTTAGATGGAGTCTCACTCTGTTGCCAGGCTGGAATGCAGTGGCGTGATCTCGGCTCACTGCAACCTCTGCCTCCCAGGTTCAAGCGATTCTCCTGCCTCAGCCTCCCGAATAGCTGGGACTACAGGCGCCCGCCACCATGCCCAGCTAATTTTTATATTTTTGGTACAGACAGGGTTTCACCATGTTAGCCAGCATGGTCTCGATCTCTTGACCTTGTGATCCTCCCACGTTGGCCTCCCAAAGTACTGGGATTACATGTGTGAGGCACAGTGCCTGGCCTTTTGTTTTTTTGTTTTTTTTTTTTTGTTTTTTTTTGACATGGGGTCTTGCTCTGTCACCAAGGCTAGAGTGCAGTGGCGTGATCTGAGCTTACTGCAGCCTCCATCTCTGGGGTTCCAGTGATTCTCCTGCCTCGGCCTCCAGGGTAGCTGGGATTACAGGTGCTCGCCACCACCCCTGGCTAATTTTTGTATTTTTTTTAGTAGAGGTAGAGTTTCACCATTTTGGCCAGTTTGGTCTCAAATTCCTGACCTCAAATGATCCGCCTGCCTTAGCTTCTCAAAGTGCTGGGATCACAGGTGTGAGCCACTGTGCCTGGCCTCATGTAGTAGAATTCTAACTACCAGCTTCCTCTTCCATAAAATAGTCAGCAACTTGAGGGTAAGGTTGTGTCTGTCCACTGAGCCCAGCCCAGTACCCTGTGCAGTGTAAGTATTTGCCGATGGAAACTGGCTGCTTCTAAGGGAATCTGGGCCTGTTGGCAGAGCTGTGACAGGATGGGGAGGCAGAAGCTGGGGACTAGGTATCAGGCGAGGGGCAGGCAAGTGTAGCCAAGCAGCCCAAGAATTTGTTTCCAGCATCAAAGCCCCTACACCCTGAGCTGATAAGAAAGTCTCACTGGGTCTACGGGAAGGAGGATGGGAAGATGGAATCCCAGGTTGTGACATCATAAGGACACCCAAGGGGCGAGTATCCTCTTTCGGGGCCCTATCCTCCACTATCCAGCCTGACCCTGGTCTTGCTGTGGGTGACGGGTGGCCCCAGTGGGTTACCTGGGACCGTCTGGCTAGTGAGGTGGGCAGGTGGGTATCTGCCTGCCTGGTCCCAGGTGGATCTGGCAGGTCTAGGGAACTTTTGTTTTTGAGACAGAGTTTTGTTTCCTGTTGCTCAGGCTGGAGTGCAATGGTGTGATCTCGGCTCACCACAAACTCTGCCTCCCGGGTTCAAGGGATTCTTCTATCTCAGCCTCCTAAGTAGCTGGGATTACAGGCATGCGCCACCACGCCCCGCTGATTTTGTATTTTTAGTAGAGATGGCATTTCTCCATGTTGTTCAGGCTGGTCTCAAACTCCTGACCTCAGGTGATCCACCTACCTTGGCCTCTCAATGTTCTGGGATTACAGGCATGAGCCACGACAACCAGCCTCTAGGGAACTTTTAGGTACAATGGACAACAGCTGTACTCTTCTCTGAAGGTGGAGAAAGGGAAAGGGATCCAGCAAGTGTTGGGGTACTGCCCCAACAATTCCGATCAAAGAGCACAGCTAGGCCTCCTGGTCTTGCAAGAGACTCCTACATCAGAGCTGGTACTCTAGCTCCAGCCTCACTCCAGGACTCCGGCTCGGGCAGGTTCCAGCTGCCCCTGCTCATAAAGAAAAGGGTCTGGCCGGGCGCGGTGGCTCAAGCCTGTAATCCCAGCACTTTGGGAGGCCGAGGCGGGTGGATCACGAGGTCGAGAGATCGAGACCATCCTGGTCAACATGGTGAAACCCCGTCTCTACCAAAAATACAAAAAACCAGCTGGGCATGGTGGCGCATGCCTGTAATCCCAGCTACTTAGGAGGCTGAGGCAGGAGAATTGCCTGAGCCCAGGAGGCGGAGGTTGCTGTGAGCCGAGATCGCGCCATTGCACTCCAGCCTGGGTAACAAGAGCGAAACTCCGTCTCAAAAAAAAAAAAAAAAAAAAAAAAAGGGTCTGGATTTGAACCCAGGACTCTGGGTCAGCAGGCATGCACTTAACCACAAGGTTAGCTGGCCTCCATAGAGGCAGTCTTCCGTCATGTCTCCTGTATCTGTCCTCCTCTCTAAGCCACTGTCTGTGCCCCGTCGCCTCCCCGCTGGACTGTGGGGATCAACTCCTCTGTGGCTTCTCTGCTTCTGCCCCTCCTCGACCTCAGACTAGCAAGCTCATATTCATCCCCCAGGACCCAGCTGGGGAAATGCCTCCTCCGGAATGCCTGCCCTGACTTCTCAGATGGAATCAGCAGCTCGCTCGACATGCTCCTGCAGGACCCTCATAAGCCATGATCACAAGTTACATTTGGTTTCCCATGGCCTTGGGAGTGGGGACTGTGCCTCTTTTGTTTCAGAGTCTCCAGACCAGGCAGGGCCTAGTCTGGGGCAGCTGTCTGTGAACAGTGCTGAAAGGAATGAATCCTTACTTGGGGTGTGCCCTGTGGCTTATTTCAGCAACCAAGGTCATATCTTGCCTATCTTCCTCTTTGATGCCAAAAGAGCCCCCTGGCTTCTGAGCAGGTACCCTGTGCTGAGCACCTGATATCTAATAGGTGCTCAGTGAATGTTCACAAAGGCAGGTGGTCAGAAAACCCTTGCTTTTCTCTGGGATGGGCAGGGTAGCCAGGTGTGTGGTGAAGCAGGCCTTTCCACCCTCTGACTTTAGAATTGGTGGGGTCGCCAAAGCCCTGCCCAGGCCAACTGCCTCACTCAGGCTAGATTTCTGAGGAAGAACGACCCTGGGGAGGCAGAGGATGCTGGTGAGAGACCAGGGGCTCATGGCAGGGGGTGGAGAGCAACAGTTGTCCATCCAACCAAGTGTTCTGCCCAGGAGCTCAGGGTTCCTTGCAGGTCAACACCCCCCAGCTATCGTGTGGTCCAGAGGACCCAGCACAGAGATGCCCACCAATCCCTGCCCTTCCCGGGGCCTCAGTCATCCCACCTGTCAAGGGGGTACAGTCTTTCTGACCCCACCCAAGTCATTGAGGCCAATAGAGCCAATAGCACTTCAGAAATGAAAACTTGGTGAACGCATCATACAAATAAATGGGGTTGTTATTAGACCCAGGAGCAGGGTCCACAGAAAGAGAAACAGCAAAAAGGGGAGTAAGCCCAGAGCTCCTGCTCCGAACCCCTTGAGGGAAACACAAACAGGTGTTGGGCAGGAAGAACAGCACCTACAGGGAGGAGGGAGATGGGGCTGAGTCCCCAGCTCTACCACGGACCAGTCACTTCCCCCAGGACTCAGTTTCCTCCCCTGTATAATGGGGGAAGCACAATCCTTGTCCAGCTCCTTCCAAGGGCCTCAATTAGGCTTCAGTGAGAGAGTGGGTATGGAAGAGCTTTGCAAACTGTAAAGTGCAGTGCACACATGCAGGCTAGCTGTGGTTCTGGGGTCCAGGCCCAGCTGGGTTCTGAAGAGTGGGGACAGTAAGTGTTGGCAATGAAAACACTGCTTGAGGCTGAGCCTAGCGCTTTGAGCCCCCTCAGGTCCTCAACAGCTGTTCCTCCTCCCAGGTCCTCACAATGTCCCCAGCACCTTTTACCCTGGGTTGCTGAAGCCTGGGAGGATGAGGAGCTCCTGCCCTGGACTGGCCCCACCTCCCACTCTGAACCCTCAGGTCACCTCTGCTCCTGGTGATGATGAACATAGGCAGAGCTGGTGGTGGGGAGCAGCTGTGCCCTGCTCCCACTTGTCCCTGGTCATCACCCTTTCCATGAGGTCTTGTGCGAGTCACCTCCATTCCTGGGTGAGGGTTAGAATGACCCAGGGTGAATTCTTCCCCACAGCACTCCAAGGGATGGAGAGCAGCTCCTGGCCCCTGCTGGCAGCCCCAGACCTACGGTCCCCCACCCAGCAGAAGCCTGAGCCAAGCTTTCCATTCGCCCTGGGCTGGATCTCAGCTCCGGAAGGAGATGTCGAGAAGAGGCTGCCAAAGAGCTTGGAGGGACTGCTTCAGAGCAGCGCCTTGAAGAGGAAGGAGAGGGAGGCTCCACAGGAAAGTCCCAGGGCCAGGAAGAAGGTCATGAGGGCACCAGCCACCTCCCGCTCGTGTGGCAGCACCTGCCTGGAACACCGGGAACAGGAGCTCTTAGAAAACACTGGGCCCAAACTTGGACCCAACTCCACCACCCTCTGCCCATCGTCTGGGCCTCTGACACAAGCCTTGTGTCACCGTAATTACCCCCTTCTTTCTGGGCCTCAGTTTCCTGGTATGTAAATGAAGCTGCTGGACAGGGACGTCTCTCAGGGCCTCTGAGTCCAACATGATGGGATTCCAGATTCCACAGCCTGCCCCTTCCACAGTGCCCCCACCCTGTCAGTTTCATTCTCTCTGGATTCTCCACTGCATTGCCCCTTGAGGAAATAGCCCATGAACCTTGTTTTTGGCCAAACCTTAGCTCTCAGCCGGGTGCGGTGGTTCACACCTGCAATCTCAGGAATTTGGGAGGCCAAGGCGGGCAGATCATGAGATCAGGAGATCAAGACCATCCTGGCCAACACCATGAGACTCCGTCTCTACTAAAAAGCCAAAAATTAGCCAGGTGTGGCAGTGCACGCCTGTAGTCCCAGCTACTCAGGAGGCTGAGGCAGAATTGCTTGAACCTGGGAGGCAGAGGTTGCAGTAAGCAGAGATGCCTCCCGCTGCACTCCAGCCTGAGCCACAGAACAAGACTCCGTCTCAAAAAAAAAAACAACCACCACATAATACCTTAGCTCTCCTCAAACCGAGAATTTTAGAGCCTGATGGACCCTGAGAGAGAACAGTTCAGCCCATTATTTTACAGATGGGGAAACTGAGGCCCATCGAGGTGGCCCCAGAACCAGTGCCTGGGCTACTTTGCTGGGCAGGTACCTCCCTCGCCCGGTTCTCCTCTCCCCTGCAGTTAAGGCCTTTCCCGGCAGGGGGAGCCAGCGATGCCCGTGAACCCCTAGGATTGGGATGGCCAGAAGCAGGACGAGTCCTCCCTCCCTCGCAGGCTGTCCCTCCCCAAAGAGCGAACACACTTCCCCACTCTCAGCCCCCACGCCACCCCATTCCCCCAGACCTGGGTGCCAGGCACATGGTGAGGGAAACCAGGTAACCATTAGAAATGGCAAAGAGCAGCATGAAAGTGATGAAGTAGGCATCCTGTGGGAAGAGGATGGGCAGCCGGGACCTCTGGGGCACGTGGCACAGCATGAAGAGGGGCACGAACAAGAAGCGCAGGCAGACCAGCAGGGGCAGCAGTCGGCTGTCCTCGTCTGGCTGTGGCAGAGACTGGGGTCAGTGTGGTCCCTGGAGCCAGGTCTCTGCTCCAGGCAATCTCAGAACACCCATAGGGTACCTTGTTTCGAGATGGAGTCTCACTCTGTCACTCAGGCTAAAGCTCAGTGGCCCTGATCTCAGCTCACTGCAACCTCCACTTCCCGGGGTTCAAGCAATCCTCTTGCGTCAGCCTCCTGAGTAGCTGGGGCTATAGGTGCCTGCCACCACCATGACCAGATAATTTTTGTATTTTTAGTAGAGATGGGGTTTCACCATGTTAGCCAAGCTAGTCTTGAACTCCTAACCTCAAGTGATCCACCTGCCTCAGCCTCCCAAAGTGCTGGGATTATAGGCATGAGCCACTGCACCCGGCCCCCGCTTTTTTTTTTTTTTCATTAAAAATGTGTGTGTGGGTGTGTATGTACAGACAAGGTCTCACTGTGTTGCCCAGGCTAGTTTTGAACTCCTGAGCTCAAGCGATCCTCTTGCCTTGGTCTCCCAAAGTGTTAGGATTTTGTTTTGTTGTTGTTGTTGTTGTTTGAGACGGAGTCTTGCTCTGTTACCCAGGCTGGAGTGCAGTGGCTCAATCTTGGCTCACTGCGGCCTCCACCTCCTGGGTTCAAGCAATTCTTCTGCCTCAGCCTCCCAAGTAGCCAGGATTACAGGCGTGTGCCACCATGCCCGGGTGATTTTTGTATTTTTAGTAGAGACGGGGTTTCACCATTTGGGCCAGGCTGGTCTTGAACTCCTGACCTTGTGATCTATCTGCCTTGGCCTCCCAAAGTGCTGGGATTATAGGCGTGAGCCACCACACCTGGCCCACCCATAGGATAGACCCATCTCTCACCCTCTGACCTCTTCTGACCTGCCCTGTGAGCCAGTGAGAGCGGACTCAGCGTTGGGGCCTGGGCAGAGCCGACCCAGCAATCAGGGACTGGCCAGCAGCTCACCTCTGCCTCTCCCAGGCTCTAGCTTCTACTCTCCACGACACCTACACTTTACACACTTAGTTCCTCAGAGCACCCCTGGGGGTTCCACAGACCCCCCTGGGAGCAGATGGGGTTTCTGAGTGGGATTGGAAGCAGTAGATCAGCTCCTGTCCTGACTTGGATCAGAGCAGTTCCTCTTTCATCTGCTTTATTTATTGTCTTTTTGGAAGATTTCATTTAAAGATAACAGCACCATGGCTAAAACCAACACCAAAACTAAGACTCTTGCTCAGTCCTTCACCTGGTGCAGGAACCTTCATGTAACATTCTCGAGCAGCGAAGGCTGGATGCTGGGGACACAGAGGTCAGCTGGACATGACTTTTGCTTTCAAGGAGCTCACAGTGCAAGCCCTGGCCTGCACACCTCCAGGGCCCAGGTGCTCCCTGGCGCTTGGCCAGTGGTTCCATTGCCAGGCCACTTGGACTACCGGAAAATCCCCTCCATGCTCTTTCAAGCCCTCAGATCCCAAACTGCTTCCTGAAACATCGGATCACCCAGCCCCGGTGTGCTTACCCATAGGAAGTAAGACGTCAGGCTCCGTCCCAGGCAGTCCATGATGTTGAAGAGGAGGAAGCAGCAGATGGGGTTGAAGAACTGACCTGGGAGGGACAGGGCTGCAGCTCATAATGGTCCCCAACTCCCCTCACCCCTCCTGTCCCCTTTGTGCCCCCTGCCCTGCCATCTTCTGCATCCCGACACTCACTCCACTTCCCGGGACTGGTGGAGCTGGTCACCATGGCTGTGATGGCGGGGAAGACGGACAGGGTGACTGTGAAGACCAACACAAGGCACAGCGCCGTCAGCCAGATCTGGGAGCCAGAGGCAGGGGTGTGAGCAAGCAAGGCAGTCCCAGGGCCCCACCCTCTGGCCGAAGCCCCGTCTGGGAGCAGGGCACTTGGGGCCTGGCCCAGCTGTGTCCCTGACCCACTATGACCCTATGACCTTGGAAGAGACAATGTAAGACCCATTCTTCCCCAGGGATGGTGGTTGGGGGCTATATCCAAGCCAAACCTTCTGGAAGACAATGAAAACTGAAGGCTTTCCTGGCTCCTGGGGCTCATCTGGCTCCGGTTGCAGCTCTTTCTCCAGGTCAAGATCCAGGGTCAGAGCTACCCTCTGGGGACTGTTGGGAATCCCATTCTTCTCATCTGGGGCAAGAGGGGAGGGGGAAGGGTCATCCTGTGACCCAGGTTTCCTGACTTCTAGGCCCATCAGAGAGATTCCCAGCAGTTAAAGCAAGTGATCCTCGACCAGGCACGGTGGCTCACACCTGTAATCCCAACACTTTGGTAGGCCGAGGCGGGCAGATTGCTTGAGCCCAGGAGTTCGAGACCAGCCTGGGCAACACGGTGAATCCCCATCTCTACAAAAATACAAAAATTAGCCGAGCATGGTGACCTGCACCTATAGTCCCAGCTACTTGGGAGGCTGAGACAGGAAGATCACTTGAGCCCAAGAGATCGAGGCTGTAGTGAGCTATGATTGCGCCACTGCACTGCAGCCCAAGTGACAGAGTGAGATCCTGCCTCAAAACCAAACCAAACCAAAACAAAAAACCAGTGATCTTGCTCCAACCCAGGCTGCAGGGAAGGGAATTCATGATGGAAAGGCATAGCTACCAGGAAGCGCATGCATGGGTCAGGCATGAGCGAAGCACCTTAGGTGGATTATCTCATGACCACTGGTTTACAAATAACACTTGGAGGTTCAGTGGGGTGCAGTGGCTAAGTGGTTTGTCTCAGGCCACACAGCTGAGATGTTGTGAAACCAGGATTCAAATTCAGAGGTCTCTGGATCCAAAATTTGCAGGTATGGAAGCTCTATTGCCTCCTCATTTTATAGAGGTGGAAACAGGCCTGAAGAACAGCAGGCATGACTTTAACCCTACCAACTGCCCATCATGATCTTCCTGTTTGCACAAGGCTACTAGGGGTGGGCTCTGGCTGCAGAGATAACTGCTTCCCAGGGGACGTGGCTCTAGCTTCCTCTGCATCTCCCACTTCCCCAGGAGGGTCTCAGGGCTTACCAGAATGGAGGAGCTCAGCTTTGGTCTCCAGCTCCTGAGCTTGGGCCTCGGACGGTTTCTTGGCCAGGTAGTAGCGGGCAAACTTCTGCAGAGGACAGGAAAGTGTTGGGCCTGCCTGGTTTGGCTGAGGCGTCTGGATCCCTCCCCACACCATTGGCCTAGAGGCTGGGGTCCCTCAGTGTCTTCTCTGGCGGTCAGGGCTGAGGCCAGGTCTCCTTCGCCTCCCCTGGCCTTTCTCAGGGCTTCAATCTCAAGACTCTGTCGGAGATGCTTTGAGGTGGGGCCTCGAGCCCAACAGCAGGCTCACCAGGTGAGGCAGGCTCAGGTAACACACAATGGACATGAGGGTGCCCACACAGGGTGTGATGAAGTACCCCAAGGCGGAGGTCTGGGTGTCCACACCACCTGCAGAGAAACATCAGCTACGGAAGAGAGGCAGCTGGTCCTGCCGGCTCCCACAGGGGTTCCAACTCCTGTCCCATTTCCCATTGCGCACTTCTCAGACCCACTCCCAGCCTCTTCCACCTCTCTCTTCACTGACAGACTTGGGAATCTCCTACAGGGCCCCGGAGCAGCCCTATACTTCTCTAGCTTTCCACTATGCGTCATTTTTGTTGAGCACATACTATGTGCCGGGAGCCTTCTCTTATTGTGTGCTCACTGCAATCTAAGCAGGGAGCTGTAACAATCACATCAGTGGGGAAACTAGCAGAGAGGTGACAAGCTTTGTCCAATGCCCCCAGCTGATGAGCACTGAAGCTGATTCAAACCCAAGTCTACCTGAATCCCAAACCCATCCCCTCATCCTTCAACTTCAACCTGCTGTCACATGCCAGCGTTGGCCCCAGGAATCCTACCCCTGGCCCTGGGTTAACCCGGTCCACACCTGGTTATTACTTCTCCTCCACTTCCAGGGCCCATGGGCCCCACTCCCCAGCTCCAGACCCAATCCCCATTTCTATATCACCCCCTCACCTCCATCTTCACCCAGAACCCAGGTTCTTGCTCTCACATGCCCTCTCTGTTCCCCAAACCTCAGAGGCCACCCCAGCCCTCCAGCCACTCAGTTGCACTCACTGGCCATGGACAGGAGCATGGCAAGGGCAGCAAAGATCCCAGCCAGGCCCTGGCCGCTGAGGAAGAGGGTGCTGTAGGTGGAAGGCATGGTGCCCAGCTGCCCAAAGAGGCTGCCCTGCAGGACTGCACTGAAGGCTGCGGAGGGACAGGGATGGGGGCTGCTGTTCAACTGGGCAGGCCTCAGAGCCTCCCTGGAGGAGGTGTCCGCTGGATGCACAGGGGACTCTGGACAAGGTTGGGCAGGTGTGAGCTTCCCTAGGGACTGGGCACTCGGGGCAACACCTGCCATTCAGTCCTCTTCTGAGGTGCAGCCATTGGTCTGTGGAGCTGTCGACCAGGAGGCCTGCTCCTAGGACACTGTGAGGCCTGGACAAGTGACTCTTCCTCTCCCTCCGGGCCTCAGTTTCTTCACCAGGGATATGAGCGACTATGAGACTGTCTTCCCTTCTCAGATATGCTGGGCCCTTTCAGGGATGAGGAGGCCAGGTTGAAGCCCTGCATGGGCTGGCTGGGGAGGGGGCAGAGATGCTCACAGTTGATGAAGCAGACGGAGGCCATGGTGATGGAGAAGAAGGGTCCAGGGCTCATGTCCACTTTGACCAACGCTGCCGTCAGAGCAAAGAGCAGCAGTATGGCCAGCAGGCTGCCCAGAATGCGCACCGTCTCCGGGATGCTGCTCAGAGGGGGCAGAACGGATCAGCATGGCCGAGGCCAGAGGAGGCTGGGGAAGGAGGTTCAGCAATGGAGCTGGTAGGGCTGGCGGGGGATAGGGGTGGAAGTCGGGGGTGGGGAGGCCTTCCTGGACCCAAATGAAGCTGCCTCGGCAGGGGGCACAGGAGCCAGGGCAGGCCTCTCACCACTGGTACAGGAAGGAGTTGAGAAGGGTGAAGAGCAGCAGGGGCAGCTGGGACAGCAGCGTCACCCAGTTGTTGAAGTTGAAGGCATCCTCGGGGCCCGTGTGGTTGGTGCTCAGGGTCCTGGCTGTGCTGTTGCTGTCTCCTGCCAGTCTCGCCTGGAAATACTGCCAGGTGGGGAGGTGATGGAGGGTCAGCACCTCTCAGCGTTCCCCTGCTGCCTTCCCTCTCACTTGTGATGGCTTCCTAATGTCTGCTGGGGCTTGTCTGCCAAGTCCTTGTTCTCTCCCCAGCATCCGGCGCAGTCAGAGCTCCCTTCATGAATGTGTGCTGAGTTGAATGGCTGAAGTCTGGGACAGATCCCAAGCATTAGGAGACCCCAGCACAAGCCTCGATCCAGCCTTGGATGGCCACTCCTCATCAGTGCCCTGGTTCCAGCCCCCACCTCTACTCCTGCAGCAGCTGCTAGATTCATTCATTCCATGGGTATTTACTGAGCACCTACCGTCAGCCGGGCTCTGGCCTAGGTGCTGACCAACTGCATTCTCTCTGGAGCCCATAGCCTGCCATTCCTCTGCTTAACCTCAACACCCCGCTCCATGCCTCCCTATTCCCTGCAGGGCAAAGCCCCAAATGAAACAGCCCTTCAGAATTGGATCCCAGTCTCCCTTTGTGCCTCATCTGCTCCATGCTGCTAAGCTCCAGGCAGTCCTGGCTCTGGATCTCTCTCCAGGCAGTCCTGGCTCTCTCTTGTCTGTCTGCCTTGGCATGGCTGTCACCTCTGCCTGGAATGCCCTCCAAGCCACACCCCTCCTTATGCACTCTGCCTGCCCTACTCCCAACTTACAAATCTTCCACAAAGCAGAAGGAACTTTCTCCCCTGGGGACCTGCTGCAAGCCTAGGATGGCATGCATCATGTTATGTTGGTTTTGTTTTGTTTTGTTTTGTTTTGTTTTGTTTTTTGAGACGGAGTTTCACTCTTGTTACCCAGGCTGGAGTGCAATGGCGCGATCTCGGCTCACTGCAACCTCCGCCTCCTGAGTTCAGGCAATTCTCCTGCCTCAGCCTCCTGAGTAGCTGGGATTACAGGCATGTGCTACCATACCCAGCTAATTTTTTGTATTTTTAGTAGAGACGGGGTTTCACCATGTTGACCAGGATGGTCTCGATCTCTCGACCTCGTGATCCACCCGCCTCGGCCTCCCAAAGTGCTGGGATTACAGGCTTGAGCCACCGCGCCCGGCCATGTTATGTTATTAATAGCTCTTTGGCCCCCCTCTTGCTCTCAAGACCAGGGGCTGATTCATCTCTGGGTTTCCAGGGCCCAGTACCGAGCCAGGTACCCAAGAGGCATTTGTAAAGTTGTTGCAGTGAATACAGATGAATAACCCGGTCCCAAAGACAATGCAGATCCCACATTCCTGCCTTTCCTGAAGAGCCTCCCTGCTGTTTCCTCCTGTGTCCCCAGTGCCTGCTCCACAGTAGGTGCACAAAGTTTGTTGAATGAATGAATGAATGTTATTCATGATATTTGAAAGAAAATCAAAGGTTCAATAACCGACTTTTGGGGTGACTGACTCAGGAATAACAACACATAGAGAAGGTAAGTGGGCAGCGCCTTGGCTCGTGCCAGACCCCGTGGGCTGGTGGCCTTGCTTCTCTGCGATGCGGGCATTCCTGAATTTCTGCTTTCCTAGCCACGGGGGAAGCATTCCCCTCTCTGAAGCTCCGAACTTCAGCCCACAGATGAGCACAACGAGGGGTCACAGGCGCGCGGTGGAGAAGCGCCCGGGTAAGCCTCATCCCAAAGGGCGGGCAGGAGGGAGGGGTGCTGGCTGTGGCCACCGGCTGCCACTCCGCCGCGAGTCTCACCGGGATGGCGGTAATGAAGAAGTTCCAGGGAAGAAGGGTGCCCAGACCCAGGATAAAGAAGCTGATCCCGACCAGGTGGTAGCTGTGGGGATCGGTTGGGAAGGTCAGCCCGAGGACGCACCCGCCTCCGCGGGCCCTCCCGCCTCCCAGTCCGCCCCCTCCGGAGCGGACTACAACCCCCATCACCCCGGCTCCGGCGGCCGAGGGAGTCGGCTGATGGGAATTGTAGTTCGATCCGGTCTTCTCTGAGCCTCGGAGCGCTTCCAGGGATCGGGTCTGCAATGCCTCTGGCCACTCGGATCCCAGTCCGTACCCACCTGGGCCCACTCACCTGTCCCGCGGGGCGTCCCCTCTCGCCATGGCCGCCGCTGCAGGTGCGCCTGGGTGAAAGGGGCGGGGAAGCCGCACCTGCACCTGCGCAGGGGCCGAGGGCCGCAGGACCTGGGGGGGCGCGGGGGCGGGGGGCCGGTCTCCCCGAATCTGGGTGCCGGGCGGTGGGAGCCGCGCAGGGAGCCCCGGGCGGATTTCGGTGAGTCCGGCGCTCCGCAGCCTGGGACCTGGGCTCCGCCCCCGGGGCGGGGACAGAGGGTCGCACCACCCCTTTCTCCGTCCGCCACCCGCCGCAGGGACTCAGGACTCCGGCTCGGGCCCGCCCCACCTCCCGGCCTCCGATCCTGCCCGCTCCCGACACAGCCCCTCCCCGCAGCCCCTGTCCTCTTCGCAGGCGCGGGTCCCGGATCCCTGCGGGGGAGGGGAAGACGGTGGGAGGGGCGGGGGATAACCTCACCCCCACCCCCCGCCAAGAGCTCTTTGGGGGCAGCCCTGGCACGGGACTCTTCCCGCTTCGCCAGCTTCGAGATGATGCCAGAGCCGCTCCTGCGACCCCTAACGCGGGAGCCCACCGGGGCGCCCCCTAGCTAGGGAGCTGCTGCGGAGCCTCTCCCAGAGTGTAACCCGAGCCCGGCCCGGGCGGGGGAACCGGAGCCGCGTACGTTCGCCCGCAGTCCTGGCGGGCTTCGCCGAGCTGGGTCCCCGGGAGTGCCTGGAAAAAACAGCATTACTTTCGGAGGTCCCTCGCCACATCCCATTAGACATAGTAAGATGCACCCACTCCCCAATCTTTTTTTCTGTTAGAAAAGAAGAAAAGAAAAGAAAAAGAACTTTGAAAAGATTAGAAGTCATTAATTTGCTCCTACTCTTATGATCTTCGAATAGGTGTGGGTTCTCTACAATCCCCTGGCATATCCGGGACGCTGGAGAAGTGAGAGCCCTAAATCACAAATCTTTCTTTCTTTCTTTCTTCTTTTTTCTTTCTTTCTTTTTTTTCTCTGTCGCCCAGGTGGAAATGCAGTGGCCCCATCTCTACCTCCGCCTCTCAGGCAGGTTCAAGCGGTGCAGGTGCCTTAGCCTGCCGACTAGCTGCGACGAGACACGCACCACTATGCCCAGCTAACTTTTGTATTTTTAGTAGAGACGGGGTTTCACCATCTCTATTAAAGAGATGGCCAGACTAGTCTGGAACTTGTCTTCTGGCCAGACTGGTCTTGAGCTTGTGACCTCAGGTGATCGCAAGCCTCAGCCTCCCAAAGTGCTGGGATTACAGGCGTGAGCCACCGCTTTCAGCCACAAACTATTTTCTTAAGCAATGATATTTTATAGCCATTCCCGGGTTGCCTGTGTTTTTCCACCAGCCGACTGCGAGTCTATGGGGGCAAAGACTGTGATTGTCTGGTCCACTGGTTTACTGGCAGCCTCTAGCGCCATTGAGTGATAAATGGGTTGTAGTAAAATGCAGGTGATTTTAGGGAGAACAAGGATAGCATTAAATTAGGCTAAAAGAGAAAGTTATTCTTTCCACTTTCTTTCAAGCTTCTGAATATGTCAAGGGTGTTAACAGGTTGCTAACATTTCTTAATCTGCCCCCCATCCCTGTCCCTCCGTTAGCCTCAGGGCAACTGCTGACAATTCTATCAAAAGTTATTAACTTGTATTTTCCTTGTATTATTTTTATGGCAACTTTATTTTCGGGGTTACTCAGACAGTTTCCTATTTATGATCATGATAGCAACTTTTCTTTGAAAAATTAGTTTATTTGTGGAAAATGAGTCATTTAAAGAAAATGAAGTGAGGCAGCTGGGGCAGGCCCCTATGGCGCAGGTTGTGAAGGAAGGACTTGAAGAATGGAGGTTGGGGAGCACTGTATTTGCTGAGACAGTGGAGGGAGAGGATGAGGGCATTTCAGGGAGAGAACAGCCTGTCCCAAGACAAGGGACAAGAGAGTGCTGACACATTCTGGGACATACAAATAGATTCCATTGGCTGGCATTGGTGGGAGGAGGGGACAGAGTCTCTGCAGCAGCCAGGCTGGTTATGGCAAGCCTGAGGGCTGAGTAAGGAGTTCAGATTTTATTTCAAAGAACAGGGAGTCAGCTGGGGCAAATTTCATCATCCTTGTAATAAATATTTTTTACTATCCTGCAATGCAATTCATATAGAGCAAAACCTACTTATACACAAAAACATTTGATGTCGATATAATATCCTGATTGTACTGCAGAGGAGTCATAAAGGAAATTATTGTGTAACAACACACTATGTATGAATGTGTTCATATTCATGGTACATGAAGCTGTCAGATGCTTGCCTTCTTTATAAAACTGCAGTGAATCCACAGCTGCAAACTCATGTGCAATACAAGCATGCAGTGAAACTGGCCACTGAAGAGATCACTGGTTTGCCAGGATTTTCTTTTTCTTTTCTTTCTTTTTTTTTTTTTTTTTGAGATGGAGTTTTGCTCTTGTTGCCCAGGCTGGAGTGCAATGGTGCAATCTGGGCTCACCTCAACCTTCGCCTCCTGGGTTCAAGCGATTCTCCTGCCTCAGCCTCCTGAGTAGTTGGGATTACAGGCATGCACCACCATGCCTGGCTAATTTTGTATTTTTAGTAGAGACAGGGGTTCTCCATGTTGGTCAGCTGTTCTCGAACTCCTGACCTCAGGTGATCTGCCTGCCTCAGCCTCTCAAAGTGCTGGGATTACGGGCATGAGCCACCTCACCCGGCCTCTTTTCTTTTTTAAAAAAAAAAAAAAAAAACTTTTTTCATCATTTATGTTTAAAATTTTATTTTTATTTATTTTATTGATGCATAATAGATGTACATATTTTCGGGGTGTATGTGATAATTGAATATATTCATATAATGTGTAAAGATCAAATTAGGGCAATTGGGATGTCCATCACCTTAAATAGTTGTCTTTTCTTTATGCTAGGATGTGATTTTCTGAAATGTGACCAAGTCCTGGTAACGTTCCAAAGAAGTGAAAGTGCATCTGTCCCTCAACATAGACAGTAGTTGTGTTACCCAAGAATGCCGTGTATATTCAAGACTGGCAAATAATGCATTTGGTCTAAATGTAAAAAGGATTTAGAGTCTAGGCTCAGAAAAATTATCAACATGGTTTTTAAAAATAAATAGATTTTATTTTTAGTACAGTTTTAGATTTACAGAATACTTGCACAAATAGTAGAGTTCCATATACCCACCCTTCCAACCTGCCACCCAGGTTCCTGTTATGAACATCTTGCATTGATATGGTGCATTTGTTACAATTAATGCACCACTATTGATACATGATTATTAACAACTGTAAAGTCCATAGGCTACAATCAAGATTCACTCTTGGCTTTGTACATACTATGGGTTTTGACAAATGCATAATGTCACATACCCACCGTACTGAATAATTTCACCTCCCTAAAAGTCCCTTGGGCTTTACCTATTCATTGTCCCTCCCCTCCATGTCCTGAACCACTGATGTTTTTATTGTCTCTATAGTTTTGCCTTTCCCAAAATGTCATAAAATTGGAATCATACAGTATGTAGCCATTCTAACTGGCATTTTTTTTTTTTTTTGAGACAGTGTCTCACTCTGTTGCCCAGGCTGGAGTGCAGTGGCATGATCTTGGCTCACTGCAACCTCCACCTCTCGGGTTCAAGCGATTGTCCTGCCTTAGACCCCCGAGTAACCTGGATTACAGATGTGAGCTCTCACACCCAGATAATTTTGTATTTTTAGTAGAAATGGGGTTTCACCATGTTGGCCAGGCTGGTCTCCAACTCCTGACCCCAAGTGATCCATTGGCCTCAACCTCCCAAAGTGCTGAGATTACAAGCATGAACCACTGCACCCAGCCTGGCTTCTTTCACTTATATGTGTGTTTAAGATTCCTCCATGTCTTTTCATGGCATGATAACTCATTAAAAAAAATTTTTTTTAATGTTTTACATTTTTTGAGATGGAGTTTCACTCTTGTTGCCTAGACTGGAGTGCAATGGCCTTGGCTCACTGCAACCTCCACCTCCCAGGTTCAAGTGATTCTCCTGCCTCAGCCTCCCAAGTAGCTGGGATTACAGGTGCTTGCCACCATGCCCAGCTAATTTTTGTATTTTTAGCAGAGACAGCATTTTGCCATGTTGGCCAGGCTGGTCTTGAACCCCTGGCCTCAAGTAAGCCTCCTGCCTCAACTCCCAAAGTGCTGGGATTACAGGCAGGAGCCGCTGTGCCCAGCCAACTCATTTATTTTTATTGCTAAATAATACTCCATTGTATGAATTGCCACAGTTTGTTTATCCATTTACCTATTTCAGGACATCTTGGTTGCTTCCATGTTTTGGTGATCACAAATAAAGATTCTATACACAATTGTGTAGGTTTCTGTGTGGACATAAGTTTTCCATTTATTTGGGTTAAATATCCAGGAGCACCATTGCTAGATCATATGGTAAGACTGTTTAGTTTGGTAAGAAACTGCCAAACTGTCTTACAAAGTTCCTCTCCCATTTTTTGTCTCCACCAACAGTGAAACAATTCCTGGTGCTTCACATTTTTGTGGGCACTGGTGTTGTGTTTTAGAGTTTAGCCATTCTAATAAGTATGCAGTGATATCTTGTTTTATGTATGTATGTATGTTTTATTTATTTATTTGTTTTTGAGACAGAGTCCTCTTTCGTCAGGCACCAGGCTGGAGTGCAGTGGTATGATCTTGGCTCACTGCAACCTCCGCCTCCTGGCTTCAAGCAATTCTCCTGCCTCAGCCTCCTGAGTAGCTGGGACTATAGGCTCACGCCACCACACTCAGCTAATTTTTATATTTTAGTAGAGACGGAGTTTCACTATGTTGGCCAAGACGGTCTCGATCTCCTGACCTTGTGATCCGCCCGCCTTGGCCTCCCAAACTGCTGGGATTACAGATGTGAGCTACCACGCCTGGCCATGTTTTTTGTTTTTGTTTTTGTTTTTGTTTTTGTTTTTTTGAGATAGAGCCTTACTCTGTCACCCAGGCTGGAACGCAATGGCTCAGTCTCCGCTAACTGCAACCTCCATCTCCCAAGTTGAAGCCATTCTCTGCCTCAGCCTCCCCAGTAGCTGGGATTACAGGCATGCGCCACCACACTCTGCTAATTTTTTGTATTTTTAGTAGAGATGGGGTTTCACCATGTTGGCCAGGCTGGTCTTGAACTCCTAACCTCGGGTGATCCAACCACCTCAGTCTCCCAAAGTGCTGGGATTACAGGCATGAGCCACCATGCCTAGCCCTTTTTTGTATATTTTGGATAACAGTCTCTTATTAAATGTGTGTGTTGAAAATATTTTATTCCAGTCTGTGGCTTGTCTCTTCATTCTCTCAACAGTGTCTTCCACAGAGGAGAACTTTTTAATTTAAATGAGTCCAACCTATACTACTTATTTCATGCACTGTGCTTTTGGAGTTGTATCTAAAAAGTTATCACTATACCCAAGATGATCTAGATTTTCTCCTATGCTATCTTCTAGAAGTTTTATATAGTACGTACAGCTTAGACATTTTATATAGCTTTGCATTTTACATGACCAATTTTTTTTTGAGATGAGACTTGCTCTGTCGCCCAGGCTGGAGTGCAGTGGCACAATCTTGGCTCACTGCAACCTCCACTTCTCGGGTTCAAGTGATTCTCCTGCCTCAGTCTCCCAAGTAGCTGGGACTACAGGTGCATGCCACCATACATGGCTAACTTTTGCATTTTTAGTAGAGATGGGGTTTCGCCATATTGGCCAGGCTGGTACATGACCAATTTTGAGCTAACATTTGTGAATTATTTAAGGTCTGTGTCTAGATTCATCTTTTGCATGTGGATGTCCAGTTGTTTCAGCACCATTTGTTGAAAAGACTGTCTTTGCTTTGTTATATATATTTATTTGGCTCTATTTCTGGGCTCTCAATTCTGTTTCATTGATCTATTTGTCTATTCTTTCACTATCACAGCACACTGTCTTGATTACTGTAGCTATATTAATTTTTATTTTTTGAGACAGTCTCACTCAATCTCCCAAGCTGGAGTCCAGTGGTGCAGTCTCAGCTCACTGCAACCTCTGCCTCCCAGGTTCAAGCGA